TTTCATGTCCCACCTGTATAGACAAAGACACGGTTTCATGTCCCACCTGTATGGACAAAGACACTGTTTCATGTCCTACCTGTAAAGACAAAGACACGGATACTTGTCCGACCGGTAATGATAAAGACCCCCGTTCCTTCTCTCGTCCGTTACAGAGACAAAGACACGGTTTCATGTCCCACCTGTATAGACAAAGACACGGTTTCATGTCCCACCTGTATAGACAAATACACGGTTTCATGTCCCACCTGTATGGACAAAGACACGGTTTCATGTCCTACCTGAATAGACAAAGACACGGTTACTTGTCCGACCGGTAATGATAAAGATCCCCGTTCCTTCTCTCGTCCGTTACAGAGACAAAGACACGGTTACTTGTCCCACCTGTATAGACAAAGACACGGTTTCATGTCCCACCTGAATAGACAAAGACACGGTTACTTGTCCGACCGGTAATGATAAAGATCCCCGTTCCTTCTCTCGTCCGTTACAGAGACAAAGACACGGTTACTTGTCCCACCTGTATAGACAAAGACACGGTTTCATGTCCCACCTGTATACACAAAGACATGGTTTCATGTCCCACCTGTATAGACAAAGACATGGTTTCATGTCCCACCTGTATAGACAAAGACACGGTTTCATGTCCCACCTGTACAGACAAAGACACGGTTTCATGTCCCACCTCTATAGACAAAGACACGGTTTCATGTCCCACCTGTATAGACAAAGACACGGTTTCATGTCCCACCTGTATGGACAAAGACACGGTTTCATGTCCCACCTGTATAGACAAAGACACGGTTTCATGTCCCACCTGTATAGACAAAGACACGGTTTCATGTCCTACCTGTATAGACAAAGACACGGTTTCATGTCCTACCTGTATGGACAAAGACACGGTTTCATGTCCCATCTGTATAGACAAAGACACGGTTTCATGTCCCATCTGTATAGACAAAGACACGGTTTCATGTCCTACCTGTATAGACAAAGACACGGTTTCATGTCCCATCTGTATAGACAAAGACACGGTTTCATGTCCCACCTGTATAGACAAAGACACGGTTTCATGTCCCACCTGTATAGACAAAAACACGGTTTCATGTCCCACCTGTATGGACAAAGACACGGTTTCATGTCCCACCTGTATGGACAAAGACACGGTTTCATGTCCTACCTGTAAAGACAAAGACACGGTTACTTGTCCGACCGGTAATGATAAAGAGCCCCGTTCCTTCTCTCGTCCGTTACAGAGACAAAGACACGGTATCGTGTCCCACCTGTATAGACAAAGACACGGTTTCATGTCCCACCTGTATAGACAAATACACGGTTTCATGTCCCACCTGTATGGACAAAGACACGGTTTCATGTCCTACCTGTATAAACAAAGACACGGTTTCATGTCCTACCTGTATAGACAAAAACACAGTTACTTGTCCGACCGGTATTGATAAAGATCCCCGTTCCTTCTCTCGTCCGTTACAGAGACAAAGACACGGTTACTTGTCCCACCTGTATAGACAAAGACACGGTTTCATGTCCCACCTGTATACACAAAGACATGGTTTCATGTCCCACCTGTATAGACAAAGACACGGTTTCATGTCCCACCTGTATAGACAAAGACACGGTTTCATGTCCCACCTGTACAGACAAAGACACGGTTTCATGTCCCACCTCTATAGACAAAGACACGGTTTCATGTCCCATCTGTATAGACAAAGACACGGTTTCATGTCCCATCTGTATGGACAAAGACACTGTTTCATGTCCCACCTGTATGGCCAAAGACACGGTTTCATGTCCCACCTGTATGGACAAAGACACGGTTTCATGTCCCACCTGTATGGACAAAGACACGGTTTCATGTCCCACCTGTATTGACAAAGACACGGTTTCATGTCCCATCTGTATAGACAAAGACACGGTTTCATGTCCCACCTGTATAGACAAAGACACGGTTTCATGTCCTACCTGTATAGACAAAGACACGGTTTCATGTCCTACCTGTATGGACAAAGACACGGTTTCATGTCCCATCTGTATAGACAAAGACACGGTTACTTGTCCGACCGGTAATGATAAAGACCCCCGTTCCTTCTCTCGTCCGTTACAGAGACAAAGACACGGTTTCATGTCCCACCTGTATGGACAAAGACACGGTTTCATGTCCCACCTGTATGGACAAAGACACGGTTTCATGTCCCACCTGTATAGACAAAGACACGGTTACTTGTCCCATCTGTATAGACAAAGACAGGTTTCATGTCCCACCTGTATAGACAAAGACACGGTTTCATGTCCTACCTGTAAAGACAAAGACACGGTTACTTGTCCGACCGGTATTGATAAAGACCCCCTTCCTTCTCTCGTCCGTTACAGAGACAAAGACACGGCTTCATGTCCCATTTGTACGAGACACGTTTCCGTATCCTGCCTGTACAAAGACTGATCCTTGCCCAGTCACTACAAACAAAAATATCGTTCAGACATCGTTCCTCGTTCCGTCTGTCCCTGAGTTAAAGACACAATTTCATGTCCCGTATGTCCAAGATACGGTACTGTGACTTGTCTGCACAGACAAAAAGCTTTGATCCTTACCCCGTCTGTCCAAACAAATAAATAGACGCTTGTTTCGTCTGTACGATAAAAACACTGCCCAATGTCCCGTCTGTACAGATTAAAAACACTCTCCCTTGTCCCGTCTGTATAGATAAAAACACTCTCCATTGTCCCGTCTGTATAGATAAAAACACTGTCCCTTGTCCCGTTTGTACAGATTAAAACACGGTTCTTTGTCCCGTCTGTACAGATTAAAACACTGTTCTTTGCCCCGTCATTACAGACATAAACACGGTTCTTTGTCCCGTCTGTACAGACAAAAACACTTTCCCTTGCCCCGTCTGTACAGATGAAAAAAACACTGTCCCTCATCCCGTCTGTACAGATAAAAAACACTGCCCCTTGTCCGTCTGTACAGAGAAAAACACCTTTCTTTGTCCCGTCTTACAGACAAAAACACGGTTCTTTGTCTCATCTGTACAAAGACACCGTTCCTTGTCCCATCTGTTCCAGAGATAAAGACACGAATTTTTTTCCCACCTGTACAGACAAAGACGCGGGTTTTTTTTTGTTTTTGTTTTTTTGTTTGTTATTTTGTCCCATCTGATCAGACAAATACACGATTCCTGGTCTCACTTATATAGACAAATAAACAGATCCCTGTCCCTTTTGTACAGACAAAGGAAAAATTCCTTTTCCCGTTTGTACAGACGAGGACATGAATTTTTGTGCCACCAATTACAGATAAATACGCGTTTTTTGTCCCGTCGGTACAGACAAAGACGCTGTCCTTTGTAGCGTCCATTGACTTATAAACGCACTCATTATTTCTTGTTGCGTCCGTCTTTACAAAAGATGATATAAGTTAAGACAAAGAAACAAATCATTGTCTTAACAAACAGACACGGTCCCAAACTCCGTCTGTAACTGAGACAAAGACACGGTTCTTTGTCCCACCGGTGCAGACAAAGACACGTTTCGTCCCGTCTGTCTATTCACTTTCTGGTAAATTGATTTCTCGGGAAAGTATTCTTCTATCATTCCCACAAATGAAATTTCGGGTGAACTTTGCAAATGAAGGTATTGTCTATTTAGAATATATATTTTTTCATTTACTGCTTTATTTAAGAGGAGTATTACACTACTGACAAAAAATGCCAACAGTGTAAGCTATCCATGCCCGACAAAAATAACAAAGTGAAGTTAAATTTATTGTAGCCTAACGTATATAATACTTCTGTGATTTCTGAAATTGAACGGTACATTATGAATGGGCGTGTGAAGCCGCGTGATTGATGGACGAGTCATTATTGAGAGCGTGGTTCATCGCCGTGACCTGACAGCACCTCGCTACCCCGCCGCGCGTACGTGGTCGCACAGGTGCGCGTGTTTCTAATTAACATGGGCCGGTCACCAACCGCCTTCATCCGTCTGTCCGCGCACCTTCACGGTCAATGGTTATTAGACAGAGAGGGGTTATCTTCATCTATTGTCACGGTCGTTGGGCATCGTCGAGGATTGAAAACCTAACGTTTCACTGAAAACAACGAAATGCATGCAACGAACGTTACATATTCAACAATCAGGAAGTATACCGGGGGCGTAAAATTGAAAACAAAACAATCAGCCCTCGGAGTGATAATACCATAGCCATCAGTTCTTCTATATGTACAGTATTTGGCTATCTGTTTTCTTTTTTCTTCTTCTTTCTGTAAATAAAAAAAATTCACATTCAAAGAAATAAGGAATATGTAGCAGCTATACCACGTCCGTGTGCCTGAAGGTATTTGTGACTTACTGACCTACTTTACGGCGTTTGTATATATAACTGATGATAGCGAAACTCGTAATCTAAATAGACCGATACCTGGCTATATTCCGTCGATAAGTATTTCACCTAAAGCTACGATTCACCTTTCGGTATACAGGTGTCCATGGCCTGTAGTGTGCTCTAAAACACGAGCGTTTTATCTATATTTTCCTGCTTTCTTAGAAATTGTTTAAAATTTTACTCTTTGTTTACTTGGCTACTGCCTTGTTGATCTGCAAACTGATCCATTTGGCGAGATCTTCTGATATTATAAATAGCCTTTGTTTTATTAAGTGTACGGCCTGTATTATCACGTCACGTGATCACTAAGGAATGTCAACAATGTAGCGAATGGGCGTAGCGTATGTCAATCATACACAGCACTTGGCATCTAGGACTATGCCATCACGCTGTATATTTGTAGGGGTGCAGGTATTCTCAGCAATCTCCGTACTACATTGTTTAAAATGAACATTGTATGTAACATATTCACATTAGCTGATCTTAATTGATTTCAATTAAACATAATTCAAGATTGAAAACGACGAAATCGTTGTAAAAAGTTTCTTCGCACTTACAGCATTTAGGTCACAGTGTGTGACTTGCCCTCCCCTTCACTCAAATTCCAACATTCGCACCCCGATCGTGGTATTCAAATTTAGAGGAGTCCTATGGACAAAATGAGACAGATTTTCGGGTAAGTTTTGACATTTAATGTAATTTTATATCATAATATTGTTGTTTGAATTTCTGAGTATCTTAGATTTGACTGAAACTAGCACAGGTGCACTGCCGCGAGGTCTGATAATCTCAGTAACGTACCACAGTACATTGAAACTTACGTACATCGTGAAACAACATGGCGGCCGCTCTGACACATAACGATTGTAAATACATACTTATTTTATGTCAAAAGTACGTTATTATTGGTTGTACAAACAAAAACGTATGTAATTTCATGTGTTCTCGTTGGGAGCTGTGTAGCCATCAACAAGTGTTATCTCACATACATTATAACTTGGCTAGCAACATGTTGCCGTGTCTCGTACGTTGTCCGTAAAAAAAATCTATGGGCCAATAAATCTGTGTTTTTTTACTTCTGGTAGTCGTAGAAAAAGTGTGACAGGCTGAAAGTCAAGTATACGATTAAACAAATGTAAATATTTGTGATTGTGTGCATGTCGTACCGCTGTTGACGTTTTCTTCTTGTCTATCCCATACAGAATACTCGGTCAAGGTCACGAAGGAATATCGCGAGAGGACCAAAGTTTCGGATTGTTTTGAAGACCGGGTTGGATATTATTTTAAAATTTCGGCAGTGTTGGAATTGAATCCTTATTGATTGAATCACAGCAGGAGGATTTATTATATATTCAAACATGTAATAATTGATTGTGGTGATTCTTTTTTTTGGGATTTATTACTTTTTCACTGTGGATTTAAAGATGTAAGTAAAAATTGTGATTTTAACCCCCTGTGATTGGGATTACGACAAATGTGTGTGTATTTTCCCATACCAGGTGGATGATACTCGAGTATTGAAGTTATCACACATGTGCATCCATTCTTATGATGCAAAGGGACAAAAATACCGCGGGAGGTGGTACCAATGTTGGCCGTTCTGGGGCAACTCCTGGACGCCGACCCTTCCTCCCCGATCAAGATGGTCGGCATATGCTGATCAAAATTAGGGACACTTTACATAATCGTTTTAAAAGTGACGAGTCTGGTAAGGAGATGTCACCCAACATACCTATAAAGCCGGATATTAACCAGAGTGGTTCTGGGACTCCCACAGGGGCCCCAAATAAAATGACAAGAAGCGTCTATCATCAGATAGCCTTACAGAATATCAAAGAGCGCCTACGACCATTTCAAAATTTGCCCAATTCGGATGGAAGTGAACTGCACCAAGGTAGTGCTAGTACATCGTCCCAGGGTAGTGAGGATGGAGACAGCATTGGAAAGCACCTCAGTGATGAAGTCACACTTGTAAGTAACTTGTATGGAAATGATCAAATTTATCTATGACCACTTGAGCAAGTTTGATTGATGCTTAATACGATGGAACAATTATTGACTTTGTACTATGTAGCACCTGTAAACTAAACATAGAAAATAAGTTGTTTTCTGAACTGTCACCTGTTGCAGATAGATAGTTCAGATAACCGTCTTAATCTGTAGTATTTTCTGAAAGTGTTACGAAAAAACCCTATAAATATTGGTTATTTGATTATTCATAATATTTCTCTACAGTCATTCCAAGAAGACAAAATATCCAAGTTGTCTTGGAGGAAAATTGAAAATTTCTTTCAAATTTTTACACCTAAGGCCCTTTTTTGACTTGCACCAACTGATTTACAATGATGAAGGAAATGCACATTATTTTTTTAATTTGAGGTTAATTGATAACAAATTAATATTAATGTTTATCTGTGTATGGTAACTTGATTTGATGAAAATTCTAACATTTTCAATGACATTACACGTTAGCTTTTTTTATTATAAATCATTGTTGATATGATTGATAAGTTTTTGATATATTTACAAGTAATTTGGAATTGTAAGATGAAAATATAACTATGATTGTCAGATTTTTAAATTTCATTTTTAACTGTGCTATAAATAAATACCATTTAAACTTTGATTGTAAAAGTAAAATTTGTGTATAAAACAAAGTAAAAAGATGTCAACCTAATTATTTTATAAATCAGATAAAATCAAATTTGTTGTTTCATGAATAGAGGATCTTGTATAATTTTGTTGAAAGACATTTGGATTGGGATGTCTCAACCCTTATTTAAGTTAGATAGTTGGCACATCATTTTTTTTTTAAATCTTTAAATTTTATGTTGCACTTGACATCTCATGAAAACTGGATTCTGTTATCTCATAAATTCATGATATAAACAAAAACACTCAAATTTATTTTCAAATAATGTGACTTATTAATTCATAACTTGGAAAACATGCTTTAATGAAGTATACTATGACATCATTTCTTTTATCACATTACTATCCTGGTATTAGTGTAATATCACCCACTACATAAAATTTTATTATAACGCCAGTGTAATTTGATCTACCTTAGCTCTTCCTGTTGTTTCCATTGTGATGTCATAACTTCAGGGCATCATATATATATTATCACATAAATTTCCAGTGAATTCGTCCATGATACATTTTTGCATGTGTCACTGTCAAGTGTAAAATTAAAGATGGCATGTTTTTTCATTTGCTGTGCTAGTTAAAAATTGATTGTGATGGACAATAAAGTTACATCCTGAATATAATTGGTGCATCAAAATGACTGTTTGATTGGCTGCTCCACATTTTGACTTTAAAACCGGTAAAATGAAACTTTTCTGTAGTAGAGAGTATCAGATTTTATTTTTCTTTCCACATGAGTTTTTATTTTTTTTTTTTTTCAATAAAAGTCATTTCACTGTTTAAATTTTTGCTTGCAAAATTAAAAACTAAGTCCTCAGTCTTGTTTTATAAAATTACTTAGGAATGAAATACTTTTTAAAGATCCATGATATTAACAAAAATGAGATGTAGACGGAGAATACTAGTAATATAGATTTTATATCAGTCTAATGAAATGTGGTTTTCACAAATGTTTGCAAATGTATCTGAGGTATGTGATAAACAGAATATTACATTTGCTTCCATTTCATGTTTCATTTGATTTATCATGCATACCAGTGGCTCAGTAAAATCAAAATTTCTTGTTTCATAAATCTCATATTACTAGATAGATTTCACAAAAGTAGTATAGTACTTATCATTGAAGGCTCAATTATGCAATAGAGAGAAAAAAAAATTACTTAAAGATTGAAGTGGAAAATTTCGTTTCTCTTTGACATTGACATTTTAATACCTTTGACTGATTTAAATTAGTTTTAAAATGTTTGGCTGGTGACATAGTCAAGACATGGTCAATATTATCAGTGATGTATGTATGTCCAGTTTGACCACCTGGTGCCATATCTGGACAGTGTATATACATACCAGAGACAGTTTGGCCTGGAGCTAGAAAGCCACATTTCACCTTTTTCTTATATAAGACATTGGAATGTAAAGAATTTTAAAGATTAGTATCTCATGTAAGGTTTGTCAATATTGTTCAACAATGTCCAACAATGTTTGATTCTAAGCCAGCGTGAAAAAAGTAGGAGAAAGGGAATGATATTCAGGAGTATATGTAGGTCATTGTCCATTATGGAATGGCATTCTTGGAATTTTTATTAAATGTCCTTTGAAGTCAGGTTTTGGTCAAACTCCACATAAAATTTGTTTTCAGTTTCCTGTTTATCTTTGAAACATGTATTAACAGCATATTCTTTTCCCCTTGGTCATGCTTGTAAGCATGAAAATAACTTAAGAAAATTCTATGTTTGAAGCAGTTGGATAAAGACCTGTATGTTCCAAAATTTGAATTAGTGTGCAGTGAAACAAAAAAACTAACATAAGACCTGAAAAAATTTATTAACTGCTTAAATTTCAGTTGATGCGAATCTTATATAAATATTTTGTACAGATATTTGTCACCTCTGTAATAACTGCAGTGTACCTGAGATGACGGTATAAATAGAAACTGATGATAACCATCGCTTATGTAATTATATCTGATTATCAAGGAGACAGTACTGATGAATTTGATAGAAAAGCAGTGAGTAGAGACAGGATGGAGATAGAAAGATCGGATATTTATAGAAATGAAGAAATTAGAGTTGATGTTTTGTTGATATGTTAATCTAAAGCAACTCTACTGGTTTGATCAGATAGCAATATAATCAATATCAAAACTCTTTAATAAGATGTAGATTTTTCTGTATAAGCTCTATTAAGGTCACAAAATATGTAAAAGTACATCAAGTTTTGACTTTTCACATTCATTATTTTGTATTATTGGAAATTCAGAAATTTTGAAATGAATAGTGGTTTTTTTTAGTTGCCAACAGAAGATAACAGTAGCGCTTTTTTTTTTTAACTGTAATTTTGATAGACAACAAAAGATCAGTCATATGTATGTTATTTCTGGATGATTGAGTTTGCAAGGGTTTGACTCAACTTTGAAAGATAAGTATTTTTGAGATGTATTTCATAGTGTAATTCACAAAGACAAATGAATACCATATCTTCATACATAGTCACAGCATTCAGTTGGCTGTTGCAATTGGCATTTTTCAGGAGTCGATTCATAAATTTCTCTGAAGGGTCAAACCTTATTTGAGATGAATATAATCTCACAAGTGAAAATTCATTTTTGGGAGTTAAAACATGGTGTCAAGGGTCTGCTATCCTTTACTAGACCTAGGAACCAGATAGAAGTAGATTTTTAATTGGAAATTTTGTGTCATATGACTATATGTGTTTTCTATTGAACATCGCATAGGTCTGTATAAATATTATTGTATGCTACTCAAAAAGTTGAATTTCCTGTTTCTAAAACAAATTAAGGTGGTGTTTCATGATGACAGATTCAAATTTTATCAGAATTCTTGATTAAGATATTGCTATATTGGAGGAAATATATAATGGTGTATGTTAAAGAGAAAGGTATGTTTTTAAAAAACACTGATGGATGTCTTTCCTCGGTCCGAGCGAAGATCCTCATACAGGCAAATACTGTTTTTATAGAGTTTAAATAATCAACTTTTTATGACTTTATGATTCAGTTGATATAAGTACTATATAATAACTTAATACATAATCACTTATTGTGGGTATGCTGTCTGAAGAATGAAATTTTTCAGAATTACCTGTATACTTTAATTTTTATTATTCCATGGATGGTCAAACTTCGGCCACCGTTGACTTATCTAGTTTTTATTATTCCATGGATGGTCAAACTTCGGCCACCGTTGACTTATCTAGGCACTAGATCACCTGGCCTCTGCAAATGTGTTTGATTGCTTTCTGTTGTCTTCATTACTCTACCATAAACAAGTGTTAGGGATTGTAGCAAAATACATAAGCCTTTACCACTTCTCTTGTACAAATTATCAATAATTGACCAGCGGTAATTTATAAAATAAAGGGGAATATATAGTTTTCGAATCTTAGTAGCAACAAAATTTTGTTTTAATGCTGTTAATTAATGGTAAGATGCATTCACAGATACCTTATCTAAGATACACAATATTTTACAGTGATTAAGCCCTCTTCCCCAGGAGGCTTATTTTTCTGAGCTTCCCCTGGTAGTGTCCATCATTTTGGATAATTGTTGTACCTTACTCTGACCATAAATGGTCACATTACCAATGACTTTGTAGAGTAATGTATATCGTTATTTGATGACCGTTTCAGTAATTTTGATGATGATATGAACCATCATATTACTTTTTTGTAAGAAAATATGACAGGATAAAGTTGGCCCGACCTTACAGCATGTAAAAACTTACTCCAAACTTGTAAATTTTGATCAGGAGTTAGGAGGTGAAAAGTTTGCTTGTTATTATATTTCAGTCACAAAAAAAACAGTAGCGTACTTCTGGTAGGTTCTTTAGTTATTGCATTCAATATTCTCGACTGTTTACCTAAGGAAAGATGAAAGAGAACTCGTACCAAAAGAATCTTTACGAGACAATGCTGTGTAATTTCACTTAGCTACTTGCGATTCCGATGATAATATGAAATTGAAATTGTTAACAGCGATTGGTGATATCAATGAAATACTTGGATGCAAGAGTACATAACATATAAGTGAATGAATTTTATCTCAGCGAACAATGGAGATGTCAGGCAAGACCTTGTGTGTGTGTGACATGTTGGTTAGTTGAAACGTTTGATAAATTTGGAGGCAACTATTTCTTGAAACTGATATTGATGATAAAGTCCTATCATGGTTCAGATATATCAATGTTGCCAATATTTACGGTAAATAATAAATTTCATGAATGGCTGAAGAAACAGCAGTCGGAGATGTTGATACAGTAGGCTAGACAATAATGTTCCATTTCAGGAATAGCTAAATCATAGTATGG